TTCTTTCTATCTATCTATCTATCTATCTATCTATCTATCTATCTATCTATCTATCTATCTGCTGTCAGGCCCAGCCCAAGAACAACAGGGAAACAGTCCAACCAAGTTCAACTATTTTATTGCTTACACCATATAGGCAAAACTTGCCAGACTAAATCTGTACTACTCTAACCTATCCTGGGAGATTCTAGGGAGTGGCTATCTTAAGTTTCTCATTCCCACGCTCCTGCTCTGGACTGTGTTGTCTCTTGTCCCACCCTCCTTCCTGGAACCTAGATGTCTACTGCATTCCATCACACCACCTCTCCATTCGCAGATACATTCCATCACAGCTGCCCATCTGACATCAAACTCTGGGCAGCTCCCAACCAACAGTTAAAACATCAATATACCATTAATGCTTACATATATCTACTAAAACCACAAGCATTAAAACCTGGCACCAAGTTAAACTTTCACATGCAGTCCACATGTCTTGGGAGTGCTATTTGGAAGGCTGTGAAGCTGGGGGCCTGCCCAACTTCAGGGGGAAGGGTGTCCACTGGTTAGGGGCTGCCATGCAGAAGTCATGCTTCCTAGATCCCATAAAATGGCAATATTTAAGGGAAGGAACTAGGAGCATGCAACCCTCTCTGATCTGGTAGGACGGGTAGTTGTCCTTAGGGAGAGGCGGCCCTGCAGATTTACAGAATTAGATTTGAGGATATTCAGTTGTCTTTTATTTCATTCTACTGTCATCTATCGGGTGGCCTTCCTTTATCTCAGGTACTGTTTGGGGGAATTTTCTTCAGATGAATGGTTCAGGAACAGCGTCTTTTGTATCTTAAGCAAAGGCCAAAGATGCCAACAGTTCAAAAGCTCAACATATTGTTACATTTTTCTCTCATTGTGAATGATTGATATTGTTGCATATTTCATATTGACAACTCTCCTTGGATTTTTTGATATAAAAGCATTTGGAAATTAAAAGACTTAACATTCCCTGCAACTTGCTACTTATGCCAGTATGACTACATGGAACTCTATGAGTCAGTCTCTTCCTGTGGTTGCTGAGACAGTATAGACTGGATCATCAGGTCTACATTCAGATTAATTTTTAAATTTTATTTCTTATAACCCAACCTTTTCTAGAGGTTTAGGGCAGCAAAACAGCCATTGGTGCAGCCAGCTTACTTAAAGCACTCCACTTCCAATGACTTACGGATGAATGAATCCAGAAGGAGAACTTTAGAAAAGGGATGATAAAAGGGACAATGAGAAAAATTAAATTTTGAAAGAAAAAAATAAAACAAAAAGAAACAAAAACAAAAGTTGAATATCCTGCTCAACTGTATCTTTCAAATAGAATAACATCTGGGAATAGATTACAAGGCCGAGTATCACTCTGGATGTGCCATTCTCATATTGTGGTGGTCAGTAGATCTCAACCTACAGAGGTCCTTGGCTGACCAAGCATGTGCTCTACTCCTGTTTAGAAACTCCTCTACTGCACCATCAGATTGATGGTATCTTCATCTCTGGAGGAGGGGGGAAAGAAAGACTTTGCCATGAAGTTGAGTATAAGTTGTCACCACTCATATTCAAGGAATGCTCTTAAAACCAAACTGAGATGAAGCGTAAAAGATTAGCACAGTAGTCTTTTATAATGATGGCTTCCTTTTGTAGGCAAGAAAGGAAGTGGTTTCTGCATAATTATTATAAACCCATCCTAACAATGCAACATTAGTAGTGTATTTTGCAGTAATTGTATCCCTCCACCCCTATAGTTTGTGATGTATCTTCTTTGCAGATTAGGTCATTAGCTTCTGATATATGCAACGGAGCAAACTGTGGAACCCAGAAATTCAGCTAATATAGGCAGCACTGATGTGCATTCAGAATCTTCTCACACTAATAATCAAGATTGGTGCTTGCTCATATTATACTTTTTTATTCTGACAAATATGCATGTGTGCTGGCTCTGAGACACTGACAGGGCTGAACTCTTGAAAGAAAGCTGGGAAATGCACTGAATGAATGAATGAATGAATGAATGAATGAATGAATGAATGAATGAATGAAAGCTGGGACTTTCTAAAAGCAAAGTGTAGATGCTGCTTTATTTATCTGCTTATTTGTTAGACTTCCAAACCACCACAATCAAAAGGCTCTCATAGTTAGTGGTGATCTCTCTGTCTATAGCAAGTAGGAACCTAAGGTTAAGAGGAACGGTTGTAGCTGCTGCCAGAGTGATCCCTCCACAATTCATCTTCCCACACAAGTAAGCAGATCAAATTCGTTTCTCTGAGAAAAGTGTGCCGTCATACATGGAGCATAAGGCTAAACCAACCCACACCAACACTAGTGTCCTGGCTCTTTCTCTCCTCTCAGAAATGCGACTATTTACGTGTTCAGTTGTCTAGCTCCATTTTCATGTTGCTGTTGTCTAATCAGACATTTCTCCCTGCATCAAAAATGCAGTTGCTCTGCATCTTGATTAGTCCTATGCCAAATCCTTTACCCTCCTTTCTGTTGCCCCATATTTGAAGATAGGGATTGAATTCAATTAAAGAGGAGCCAACAGAAGTAACAGAATTTGGAATATTGCTGTGTCTTGGAGGTGACAAATAGTGAACTGTCTAATCTCTTTAACTTAAAAGAAAGCTCCCATATATATATGTGCATGAGCACACGCTCACTCATGATGGAACAGCACTTCCCTCCATCATTCACCTTCATTTGGGGACATGCTCACCTGTCAAGTGAGGACAGAAGGAAAAAAGGTGCAAGGTGCAGAGATTCCCAGGGCCCAGAGAGCAAGTACATGCAGAAGATTAATCAAGTGAAAGGCAAGGACCCTACCCTTCCCAACCACTTCCAAACTAAGGTTCCTTCCCTTCCCCCAACTTTGTGAATTTTTACAGAAGTTTGATTAGGTCTTGCAAAAGGAGCAGATCAAACCATGCCTCTTTTAGAGGGACCAAAGAATCTCATGAATACAGGGAGTGGAATTGCGCCTGACGTTCAAGTTGATAGGAGCCCCCATTAGTGGTGGCAGAAGCAGCAACCATACGGTGCATCTTATGGTTTGGTCTTCTTATTTCCATTTTAGGATGATGTGGCCCAGCCGTTGAATCTCTCAGCAAAGCCCAAGACAAATGACAGCAAGTCTCCCTCATCACCCACTTCTCCTCACATGCCACCACTGAGAATAAACAGTGGGTGCAGCTCGCTGAAATCTTCGGTGCCAGCAACGTTAGCTAGTCCATCAGCCAGAGTCAACACAATAGGTAAGAAGATTCTATTATGCTAGAGGTCAACCATTCATAGCCTATGGGCCTCTTAAGCTGCTACCCTCCCCCCCCCCCAATATCTTGAGACTGGGTCACCAATATTTGAGCCATTTTTCAAGGGTTTGAGAAGAGATAAGGTTGATTAAGGGAACCATTTGCTTCCTACGGATCTTCCAATCTCCTTCTTACCCTCCACACACCCCCAGTATATAACGTTATTGTTGACGTGAGTTGTAGTGGTTCTTTTTCAATGTTATACTCAACCTTGAATGAAAAAGCCAAATAATTGTATGCTTGTAATACTTTCTCTTTTCTATTCTCAATCTTCTAAGCCATCTAGATAATAGAATGTCTAATTTTCAAAGATATTATACAAACATCAATGTATTGAAACAACACAATCTATTAAGATTTATAACAACATAATCAAAAGGAAAAGAAGAAAGAGAAGGAAACCATCCTCACAAAATACTGGTTGAACATTTGGGGTTGCTACCCTTCTAAAGACTTTGCCATGTCATCTGACAGCCTTTGGTAACCCTCCAGAAGGTTGGGAGGGAGGTAGACCACTGGAACATTGTCTCTGAGTTAGGCATATCCTCAAGCAAAGAAACCTGTAAGATTAGCTGTTCCTACTCTGCTCAGAAAAAACAAGTGAGTCTGTTGGGCTGAGCCAAAAATCTCCATGGAACACTTGGTATTGCAAACTATAAAAGGGATGGGTGAAAAGGGGTGCCTTAAAATTGGACTGATGGGAGAGAGTGGCATTGTCCCAAAGTTTCAAAACTATCTCAACTCTTTTTCCTCTCAATGGACAGTAAGTGAAGCAAACATAGAAGTGCAGCAAATATGCACACCAAAAAAAAGTGAAAAAGCCTTATCTTATTGCTTCTAATCACCTGCCTTCTTTCAGATGGCAGAATAGCATCAACAGGGGCTCAGGATTTGAAGGAGCATGCAAGAAACCTTGTATCCAAAGAGTCTATTCCTAAGTCATCCTAGCACCAATGTGCTTGTGGGTACCAGGCCCCTGCCTCAATGGCCATTTTCAAAGGATGTGTTTGAATTAAAAATAATTCTCTGTTAATTTTTTTTTTTAATTTCCTCATCTTTGAAAAAGCTTGCCCCCATCCCCCAAGGCAAGGGTGGACCTCATAGCCTTCCAGAGGTGCATATAAACATAGCTGTTCCAGAGGTTTGAGAGATTGGATTGCTTTGTAGTTGTTGGGAATTATTGTGATTATTACATACATTTATTTATTCATACATTCTATGTTTAAGGCCATCCACTCACCACACAACTGTGGGTGGCTTCCATAGGGTTAAAGAGATCAAAATACAGTGACAGAATTATAAAAATGTACCTTGCCAAGGATAATTAACTCCACCTAGGTAAATTCCTACAACATCCTAACCTAGAGGAAGAAAACAGGCCTTCCAGGCTCTACAAAAGGCCTACAAGATTGTGTGTGTCAGGATCTGAGGAGAGGGAGTGTTGTTCCACAGGGCAGATGTAACAATAGAGAAAACACAGGTCCTGGGCCCCATAACAAAATTTCTTTGTTGATGAGATCCAGAACATGCCAACCCTTTTCAGATCCTGGCCGAGAGGATCAGAAACTTGCAAACAAAAATGGCCCTGGGCCATTAAAGCTTTATAAATGATCCCCAGCATCTTGACTTGCATCTGGAGGCCTATTGGCAACCAGTGCCGGTTGCATTACAGAGATGTTACCCAGAGACAGGCCAAGGTTGTGTGGCTTTTGGACATGTATACTTCATAACGTCCATATGATTGAAGTGGTTTAGGAGTGTAATAAATAAATGGGAAGCTGGTCTGCTGAAAAGCACAGTTTCCTCTTCCAGTAGATCTTCATTTCCTAGAATACCTCTGAGTCTCATAGGCCTGATAGGCACTCTTAGAATATACAGCCCACAATTTTGTTTGGAAATATGCCACCTGCCTATAAAAAAGATAAACTGATCTTGTACAGAATATGCGGATGTGCTATACAGAGTGGTAAAAACCCACCTCGCCAGATTAAGGGATTAAAGAAAAAATATCCTCTAGTTGAACTCAACCATGCAGCTCTCTTGTCAACTGTATGGAAATGGCCTGCCATTGCCTGTTTCCAATTTTTTTTCCTTCAATCTCCTTACAGTTTACAATCCCTAGGATTTCCTGGTAGTGTCCCATCCAATTACTAACCAGATCCAACCATCCCCTCCTAAACCTTAGTTAGAGAACCAGTCCTCTGCAAGATGACGCGCCTTTTCTGTTGTAGCATTCAGCTAGTAAGTTCATTCAGTAGGAAACAAGTCAAATCTTACAAATGTTGTACACAGAGGAAAATATGCATTAACCTAAACAGATGGGGCTGGATTATTAAGATGGTGGGGAAAGAGTATAAGATTACAATATCTTCTCAACCTTCTGTAAACTTCAGAAAAAAATCGTAACAAAGCAGAACGGTGATATTCTGGTATCAGAGGGATAGAAAAAAGGTTGCCACAGGATGCAACTGTTCAACATGTGCATGGACATGCACATCATGCACACATCATTGCTCATACCATCTGTTACTGGGTTTCCACCAGACTGCTTCTAGTAGATGGTGTTTTGTGACCAGCCAACACCATGAAAGTCGTTTTGTAAGTGTATAATTTTCCCTGCTGATCACAGCCATTTTGTGAGAGCTCTCAAGAGATTTCCTAAAAATTCATTAATTTATTTATTACAGAATAAATATGGTCACCCATAGTATATAAATAACTCTAAGAAGCTAACAGACAGATATACAAATAATAAAATGCACATGATTAAAAAGACTCTTACACCCCACCGAACACCATAAACACAGTCCTCTCAGAAACACAGATCTTGGGCTCACTTCCCTTCCTGACTCAGCGCTTGTGGGAAAAGCTTAATGGCTTTCCGGAAAGCAAGGATGATAGGGGCCCTCCACACTGCAGCAAGGAGGCTGTTCCACAAAATAAGGACAGCTGGAGAAAAGGCTTGCTTCCTAGATCCCACCAGATGTCAACATTTAAGAGAGGGGACCTGAACTGAGCCACTCTATCCAATCTAATGGGACAGGTAGATGTCCTCAGGGTCCTGCAGATAACCTGACCCCATGCCATACTGTGCTTTAAAGGGAAGCACCTTGAACTGCACCAGGAAAGAAATTGAGAGCCAGTGCAACCCACGTGTAGCATGGGCAAACAGTGGGGCACCCAGAACTACATGCTCCACTGCATTCTGGACCAGTTGAAGTTTCTGGGTGGTCTTCAAGGGCAGTCCCATGTAGAGTGCATTGCAGTAGTCCAAACAGGAAATACTTATGACATGAGCAACTATAACCTGGTCCAGGAATGGGCACAACTGGCACACAAGATGAAACTGTGCAAAGGTCTCCCTAGATCTCCCCAAATGGTTCCCTAGCCTGGTGTAAGGGATGGGACTTGGGTGTGCACAAATGTCTCCAGGCATCCCTTGCATACATAAGAGAGTGTGAGAGAGTGAGAGCAACTTGTGAACCACACTCTAGAGGATAAGAACATAAGCAGTGCCCTGCTGGATTGGACCTCTGGCCCACCTAGTCCAGCAGTCTGTTCTCAGAGTGGCCAACCAACTGCACAAGGACGCCCATTGGTCTCCCAGCAGATGGCCTTCAGAGGCAGTCCCACTGTCATCAAGGTGAATATCCACTGATCCCCATGACTTCCATGAATAAATGGGAAGACCCATGAGGATCTTCCACACCCTGTGCAAAAGCTCTAAGAAGCGTCATCATTTTCTAGATAAAACCTTCTCTTTCCGACTTCCTGGTCTCTTTGTCTGTGTTTGGAATCCTTGCCGTTTTTTCTTCCCCTTTCACTGAAATGTAGATTTTGAAAGGCTGTACCTGTAATGAGTGATAATGTAATTGGATAAAAGCTGTGAGGATGACTGGAGTTGTAAAGGTCACTCTTGTAAGGAGAATTAATGTGTTATACCATTAATAAACCACGGGAAACTGTGGACCAAAAGATAACATACTTAAGTTATTGTTAATGACATAGACTTCATCACCATATATCTTTACAAGACAGATGGAGAAAGGGACTTTTTGGGGTTATAGAATGGATCACGGTGCGTGCTGTCTAGGATAATGCAGCCTGCACACTTCCTCCCCCTCCATACAGACACTTTCTCCTCACTGGGAGCCTCTTTGGGATTAGCTGATGATAGAAGCCTGAGTCTTGCCTCCTGCTCTTGACCAGTACTGGCTACTTATAGGCTATCCAAAGGAAAACGAAAAGGCATTGCATGGATCCATCTGCGTGGGCTAGAAAAGCACATCTAGAAACAATGACAGTAATTCAAAGAGAATCACAGTGGCTGTTTTTGCACAACATGCTTAACGAGCCAAAGACCAACGGATGGGTTTGCATGACATGCAAAGCTTGATTAAGATTAACAGTGGTAAGCCTGGGGCGGGGAGAGGGTTAGTTTTCTATCAATCCAGAAAATGGGTTACTTCAATCACCAGGTTAAGCATTCTGTGAATGCAACTGACGAGAAAACTGACTAGGTTATCTGTCTGTCCCTGCTCTCCCTTAATTATTATTAAATTGAACTTGGGTGGAGAACTTATCATATAGAAGATAGTCTGAGGGCCTTCATACAAAGTACTATGATCACCAAAGTAAGGCATGGGTATCCTTTTACTATGTACTGGCGATATCCCAATCAGCAGTGACTGCTGGGTGGGTGATAGAAAAGTCAAGATGGCAGCTGAGACTATGGGATGAAAGCCATGCCCTTTTGTATGTGCATGCTGCGTTGACATATGCACAAAAGGGCAGGGCTTCAAGAATGCCATCATGACGACTATCTTGACTTTCTTGATCATTCCCTGTGGATGCCCCTAAGCCCAATATTATTTTCCAGTATGGTTCCATGTGGCTGCAGTGGATGGAGAGGGGAACATGCCTTGTAAACATCATCTCCTGGT